GAGGAGGTGGTACAACTTAGGGCTAAATGTTCAAGAGTGATCTTGTGATCCAAAAATATTAAGTACAGCTGATTTGTGAAAGTTTTACAACTGGCTTTATAGACACACTTCTAGTTGGAAAGTTAATGGAATGCTGCTGACTCCATTACGTGGCACCTATCTTAAATACTACATTTGTCATTCTTTGTGTATAAATCTGATTTCATGTATCCTACCATGTTTTTGACAGTAATAGAATACTGTAGGGCATGTTGCAATGTTTTTGGTTTTTGAAAAGATGTAAATAACCATTTTAAATGCATGCAGCCTGCATCTCTGGCAACACAATAGGACAGGACCCCCAGATACCCATGTTCTGCAAGTCCTCAAAATTGATTTGAACACACATGGACTGGGTGTTAACACTGACATTTGTATTACATTTTGGATCCATTTCAGTATATAAAGCATTGTCTCAAAACACTAACTGCTTGGGATTTATGTTGCCTTTGTTTGCAGACAATATTCTTTGGAGAGTAAATAAATAGTGTACCTCTAAAATGGGTTAGGCGAAAGATCCAACAGAGAACAGCTGTCGCATTAGAGCTGTAGGAAACAACTCTGCTTTCTCTATTTCCATGGGGGTGTGTGGTGTCTTGTTGTCTTAGTTTTCCTGTACTTTGTAATTAAGCTGTACCTAGGTCAGCAGAGCTCCCTTATGAAGCAGTTATTCTGAATTTCACAACATGTTAATTAACTTGTCTCTTTTTGACAAGTCTTCCTTCTACACCTAGCATGCATTTGGGTCTAAGAATTTTTGCTGTTTCAACTCCCACTGATGGTTTTAGTATTTATATGCTATATTGTAAGCACTGAAAACACAAGTCTTCAGACTTTCTTTTCAATCAACTGATTTATTTTTGGGGGCGTGCAATATAGCTTCAGTACATCTGAATTTTATTCTTAGCTTCAGTGGCTTTTATTGGCTTTCTCTATTTCTTAATTCTGTACTTCCCTTAGGGAAATGTATGCATTTTACATTATTTCAGGCTTCTTAATATACTAGCACTCTGCACTGACCTGCAAATTATTTTTTTTTAATCTTCATCTTTTGACAGATTTACATTTTACATTCAGGGGGCAGGGAGAAATCTGGTTTAGATCAGATTGCCATCCTGAAATCCTAAATCTAGGACACATAGATGTTAATCTAAATAACTTGAAATAAATCTGAGGCTTGTGGATACTAATCTTACGTTGGCAATGTATATTTATTAAACTGTCACTCATAAACCAGCAGACAGGAGCTGATAAAGCAGCCTAACCCAGTAGCAAAGTCAAGTGCCCAGCTAAGTGAAGATTGACTAGGTGAAAATTGTCAGTCTTGTGTGTTTCTGAGCCTATATGGCCAAATCTGTTCTGTCTTGCTTGTCCTGGAATTTCCTTACTAATTGTACCCCTAAGGACTCAGCTAGAAATAAGCATCATCTGGTCATTTCTCCCCTTGTATGCCAAGATCTGGCAAAACCAGTGGTGGGAAGGCAGTGCAAGGCTTGCTTTAACCGTTCTAGAACACAGCTAAGTGGTCCAAGCTTGTGCTGATTGGTCTCTTAATCTCATGCATGTTTGGGAGAATATACTTTAATATACCCTTCTGATGACTGTGTTATGTATATATGAGTTTGGTGAAGAATGTTTTTCCCTTATCTGGCCTTTTGTGCCAGCTCTCTTGGTTGAGATTCTGGGACTCCCTTGACTAGAATCTGATTTTCTTTTTCATAGAAACTTTAAAGCATTGTGCCTTCTGTTCTTGAGAACAGGAACTTGATGCTTTTCTTAAGTCAAACCTGTGTTAAATTTTTGCCAGGAGAATTTCAGGCTAGGCTTTTGATTACATAATTGTGTACTGGCAGAAGGCCTGATATAGCTGTACCTACAGGAGCTGAAAAGAGCTTTGCTGTGATAACTTACTTACTTGTGGCACTGGTTAAAACAACTTGAGGGAAACCCTTTATGCCAGGGGAAAGGGTATCTGCACTTCAGGATCTAAACTATGCTTGCAAATATATTCTGCTGTGGAGCAGGGTTCTCTAGTATAGTACCTAAAGTAGAAAAGATGTGCTGCACAAGCAGGTGCATCACAAGCTGGAATACTGTTGGAAGTAGTGTGAATACATCAAAGATGAAGTCACGTCAGTAAATCCACAGTGACTCAGTAACTGTGCAAGAGCTTCAAACTGAGATAATCTGCTTATCACTAGCTTTGTTCATTGGTAATATGTTTACATACATATGGTGGTAAGAACCCAAAGGACTTGATATCAGCAGGTATATGGTGATAAGATTACAAAGGATTTAGAGACTACTTCATTGAGGCTGGCAAAACTTGATTTTTACCAATGCTACCACTAACTTTTATAACTTAAATTTTGTTTTTCCTTGCAGTTAAATGGAATTTTGAAAAACAAACCTAAACTTGTAGTAAGCTTTTTTCTTACAAATGCTGACTGGAAAACATTTGAGTTTAGTTTTTGTTTTGGTTTGGTTTTGGCTTTTTTTTAACATTGCGATTTAGTATTGAGAACCTATGGCTCAGGCTGACCTTCTGCAACTTTTAATAAAGCCAGCAAAAAGGCCTTGGAAGTATGGAAGCTGTTGAAAAGCCAAGTGATTTATAACAAAAACAGTTGGGCTCAGTAAGCAGGAAAGGTCAAGCTGCCAAAAATCTAGACTCAGTAAAGCTGCTACAATGTAAGACTGTATTATCAGGAGGAAAACAAAAATCCAATGGAGGTGTTCTTGGGAAAAATGTAGTTCAGTTAGTGAAGAAAATAGCGTAGGTATCCTGCAAGGTTCTTATATCAGGAAGATCCCTGTGGAGGGCTCTTTTATGTAGAGTAAGAGATGGAAAGCTGTTGGTGCTTCTGAAAGAAAATGTGGGTGAAGGTTTTGAGCAAGATGAAAAATGAAGCAAGACAAAATCATTGCAGAACAACTAGTAACAGGAGTTAAGATATTCACGAGCACTGAATACCATATACAGGGCTTTCTTTCGGTTAGGCAAGGCAGAAATCGGGAACCTTGGTTTCCCGTCTGTAAAGTGAGTATTTTCACTAATGTGGGAACAGGTACTGGGAGCAAGGGGAAGCTGAAAATAATCCCTTTCAGATCCCTAAAGGATCTAATGGTCAAAAATGGTCTTTGTTATATGAACAGTGAAGACCTTGATTCTTCTGATTAATTCTTTTGCTTTACTCATGTAAAATAGCAATTAATTGTGGAGGAATCGGTAGGATTATACAAATCAAGGAGAATATGAGCTTCCAACTGTGGTCTTGTAGGTTTATAGAAATTGCAGGAAGAGCAACAAGTTAGATGTTATAAATGGGTTATTGAGTTTGTTTCCGTTGTAGTAACTTTACAAGCAGATTTGAGATAATTTCTGTAGAATACTTGTCTTGTTTGTGAATTGGTTTTGTGGTTTTAAATTGAATATATCTTTATTAAAGTTAAACTTTTCCTTCTGCATTTCACTCAAAGTTTACCACAAATAACTTTCTGTTCAGTAAAAAAAGTCACATATTTCCTAACCTTTACAGGAGTTACAAAGTGAACTCCTTTCTGTACTTGTGAAGCCATCACCCTTAAGAGTTAAGTTTTCTAAAATATACCATGGATTTTTAATTCACTGAATTATGGAATATCATGGTAATTCTCTTAAAAGGATTACACCTTCAATAGGAGAACTGGAGTGTAACATATGACAACCTCAAGTTCACAATTACGCTGTATCAGACTTGCTGCAAAGATGGTCAAACTATTCCTTTTTATGATAGAAAATAAGTTCTCAAAAATAGAGTAAGAAACTGTGTTCATGTCACTGGTATTTGTACTTGAAGCCCCCAGTGGAAAACTTCAGCCTTCTGTAATATAACTGTCAATAGACTTGCCTTTGACATTTCTTATATACTTTTTTCTTGGGGGTTTCTTTGCTTGATTTAAAAGTTTGCTATTTCACATTTCTGTATAAACTAGGTAAAAAACTGTAGGTCAAACAGGGTAGAAAGTCACTCCATTCTTTAAACATACAAGGATGCAAGAATATATGCTTTCACTGGAACAATATTGCTGCCTTATGTAAGGAAAAAAATTATGTGCTCAAGTGCTTTGAATATGTTTTTAGATTTGAGATCTGAAAAAATTGCGCTGTTAAGAAAATGCACCAGAAAGTCTAGGATAATAACATAAATCAGGAAAATATATGAGAAAATAGGCTGTTCATCTTCCTTGGTTATTTAAACAATGGTATGTTCCTGCATTTGCAGTAATGCTAACAATCCAGTCAAATATTTGAGTCAAACACATCAGACCTTGCAGAAACAAACTATGATTTGTGGACTGTATTCTAACTACATCTGACCTTTCCTAGCCTGACTGTGTACTCATTTGTCCTAGCATCTGAACAGCATTTCATTGTTTCAAGCTGTCTTGCAGATAGTGATTTTTATGCCTTTGAAACATGTCTGTGTTCCTATTCAATTTTATTTTAAAAAATGCTACCAGTGGGTAAGTAGTGTCATGTGCTTTAAATACAAAATACTGTGCTATTATTGGATGGAAATGTTAACACAGGCCTTTACAGTACTGAAATTAGGCTCTTAAGAATGAGTTTGAACATGTGCTATAAACTTACACATGCAATTGCAGTACATTTAGTTAGCAGTAGTTGTTTTCAGTGCCTTCTGTGTCTCACTAAATGTATTTTGCTCACTCCAAGATCAATGGGAAACTGTGCTAAGGATATAATAAATTACTGAAGCTTATTCTGCAATGTTCGATGTTGCGATACATCCTAATTCTAGACAAACTATAGCTCGAGTACATGCCAGAAATCAAGATTTTTCTGAAGCACACATCACGAAGGCAACTGATGAGAACTGGCTCTACCTCAGCCTCCAAGTTAAACTAAATTACACCAGTTTAAAGTTATCAGCATTTGTTCCCCTTTTTTTCCTAGCAAAGTGTTTAATGTGAAAACACTCTCTCCATTTCAAAGTATAGATAAAAAGCCTCTTAAAAAATATAAAAAAATCCAAGTTTCTCTATTTCTCTAATAGAGAAAAGGGAAGGGAAATGTGGTTTAGACCCAGCTGGTAACTCAGCACCATGCAGCCGCTTGCTCACACCCTCCCTCCCCTCCTCTGGGTGGAGAGAATTGAAAGAATGTAAATCCCATTGGTTGAGATAAGAACAGTCCAGTAACTAAAACAGAGTAAAATATAGTGATAGTAGAAAGAATACCAATAATTATAATAGGAAACAATAAGAGAAAAAAATGAAAGCTCAGAAAATATAAGTGATGCACAATACAATCGTATTTCTGAGCTCACAATAAGTGATGCACAATGCAATCTATTTCTGAGCTCACCACCTGCTGACTGATGCCCAGTCCAATCCGAGCAGTGATCTGCCCTTCTGGGTAACTCTCCCCAGTTTATATACTGGGCATGATGTACTGTGGTATGGAATACCCCTTTGGCTAGTTTGGGTGAGGTGTCCTGTCTCTGCTTCCTCCTGGCTTCTTGTGCCCCTCCTCACTGGCAGAGCATGAGAGTGAAAAGTCTTTGATCAGGGTAAGCATTACATAGCAACAACTAAAACATTGGTGTGTTATCAGCATTGTTCAGACTAAAGTTGAAAACACAGCACTGCACCAGCTACTAGGAAGGAGAAAAATTAACTTACAGCTGAAACCAGTACAGGAAAATAAACAAAAGAAAGAAGGAAAGTATCCCTTAATTTGTAAAAATGTCAGTGTTATTTTGTAATATTTTAGATTTTACTTTCTTTCCTCTGAGAACAATAGTGATCTTCCCTCCAGGGGCTGGTACAGATGTAGAATTAGAGCTGTCCAGTACTGCAGGAACAAAGTCATTCTATGTTAAGAAGATTAAGCAATGCACTAGTGCTATGTACCTAAGAGTAGCAGATCACCTTTCTTTAACTGTCATACAATTTTAAGGGCCAGGGAGGGTTCATAATCCTCACTGATCTTTTGTCCTTGTTCTGAGACAAGCTCCAAATACTTACTACAGACACAATACAGTTTATTTTGTTTTCCCTGGGGATTGCTGTTCATTGGATAATTGTCACGTTAACAAGCTGAATGATCTAGACTGTTAGACAAGCACATCCTTTTCATCACCAGCTTCCCAAAAGCCACTTGAACTAACAACTAATCTTTGAGCCAGTCTTCCCTCTGCCCCATGATGCTCACATAATCCTACTTGGAATTTTCCAACAAAGCCCTTTTAAAATTGCTTAAGGATGCCTTTATCTCTAGAATAACTAATATAATGTGCAGTGAAAGCAGTATTTTGGCAGATATTACTACAATAATGAAATATATTATCCATGCAAATTTATTATGTAATCTTAATACATGTATTTGTTGCTTTTCAATTAACATTTATATCTCTCTGCTACCTCTTAGAGCCATATTGTACATTTAGATCTGGTTTCAATGGAGCCAAACATATATACTGTAAAAATAACATGCTGGCATACAGTTGCATTCCTGTTGTATTTGATGAGAAAATGTAGTCATAAAGTCTGTTTTTTATTTAAAACAAGATTTCACACATCACTGAAATTTTAAGTTTTAAGAAAAAAACATACTAATTTGCATTGAATATCAAGAAGTACTCAACTGTGGAGGTAGTTTTTTTTTTATCGAGCAAAACTTTGAACACTTTCTCAATTAATCAACCTCATAATAAGGAAACTCAAAGTACTATTTGCTGAAAAATAACAATTCCTACTTTGCTTTGGGTCATCTCTTCATTTGTAAGACTGAAGTTGCATAACAGGACAATGATAACTGCTCATCCCTGGATCAAAGAGAAATCAGGCCAACTGAATTTAACCCCTTCCTCCCCTCCACCATCCTGCCTGCAGCCCTCCATAAAGTTTCTGTTCCAATAGACAAGAAATGTGGCTATAGGTTATATGCTTTAGTATTCCTGAATACCTGAAACTTTCTGCTGAATTTCATATTTAACAAAGATTTCATAGATAACAGCTTTCTTATTTCCAATGTGTAGATGCTCCCTTAGGGGATTTTACAGTTTATACAGATCATGTTTGTTTATGAGAATATTTCATTAGTCTTAATTCTTTCTGGTATAACTTTCTGTTTCCAACATCCAGTATATTTTTTCACTTTTTATTCTAATTGCTTTTCACAACCCTCATGCTCTAGGATGTTCCTTTCCCACCACTTTATTTCAGCAGGGCCCATACCTAGAAGTGTTCTTTGACACCTGCTAGATCACAGAATTAACAGCTTTTGGAATGAATTTCCCATTACTTAAGAAATCTAAACCAAGATAAAGCAAACAGCCAGTAAGTGTGTGGAGTGACACCCACATCAGCAAGGTCTGGACTTGAGAACTTTGAAAATCCTTTCAAACTGTGACTTTTTATTTGGTTAATTTTTGAATGACTGAGCCACTGGAGCAGGGTTGTAGAAAAGAGGAAGAGTTCACTTTTCTGTTATATCTGTTCTATTTTTTTTTTCTGGGTATGAAACTAGGAGGTAAGCCTCGCTATTTTTCAAAACAGCTTTGATGTTTTGCTCAGTAAACATCTGTCCTTAGATGTCACTTATCTGTCTATCAGAAAAGATTGAAATACAAAATATTTAGCTCAGCTGTATTGTACAGGACATTAAATAAGTTTATCATGCAACAAAAATTACAACTTAATCCCCATTCAAAAATCACTTCTTCTGGTATTTATTTTATACATGCCCAAGAATACTCTGAGGTAGCTGTTTTGTGGGATTTTTTTTTTTTTTTCCTCTAGTTGGCCTGACATTTGCAAAAAACTAAAAGTGGGTCTGTTCCTGTACCTGTAAAAGTTAACAAGGGTTTTGTCGCTCTCACTGAAGTGTGCAGTTGTAAGCTAAGGTGTAGGAGAAAAAAAAAGATGTGACATTCATTATTATATCTGGAACGCGAAAATATGTTTCTATGATTCTATGAATATTCATTTTAAAATTATCTCCTATGAGTAATGGGAAAAGTACATTTAAAATTTAGGCCTTCTTACTGGGGCACTTTATATTGGTTTCTTTTTTTCACACTGGCCACTTGTTCCTAATAAGGTGCCATGTGGATAACTAAGTAGTAAATAACCATGTTAATCTTTGAATTGTCTGACTTAATGGACCAGATTTTGATTCTGCTATCTAGAGGTATTTTAACTTCCATAAGAAATGAAGGCTGGAAGTAGTATGCTTCAGATAAATGACACATTGATGAATCTTTCTAAATTATTCAGTTTTTCTTAACTACTTGTTCCTTTACTAAAGCAGGTACAATACTTGTATATTAAGTTTTTTAATGTTAATAGCACAGGTGACATGTTTTAGAGCTAGGAGAAGCTGACAGAAGGTTCCTATTTGCAAGTATGAATTCAAAACCTGAATTGGACGGCTCAGTCATCATACTGTACCTCTGGGTTTGAGTTTTTTCAGTTGTTAACTAAAATACATTTGTGTGTAGCAATGCTCCAAGAATAGCTAGCCCTTAGGAATTCCCACATATGTCTCAAATGTGGAATATTTATGCAATGATTCAGCAGGTTTCCATTCATCAACATTCACTACTGGTTATTCATTACTTGCCTGTTTTCAAAGTTGCAGCCATTAAGTCACACAGCTAAGAGCTATGCCATTTAAGAGACTGACCATTTACATCAAGGCTGAATAATAAATAATGAAAACCAACTGAAATTCATATATAAACAAGAAACATTTAAATAAAATAAAATGCACATAGAAAAAAATGCCTAAAACTTGTGAAATCACTTGTCATTGGGAGTTTATTCTAGAAAACACATTTATTGTCTTAGGGAGGGAAGTATGTATGCAAATCATTTGGAAACTCAAGAGGTGCATGTATAAGTACATAGGAAAATTACCAAATCTCACAAATTCTGATTAATGTCCAATTAAGTGGAAACTTGGCTAAGCTGTCATTTGATCCTAGCATCCAAAGGCTGAAGAAGGGGAAATAAGACCTCATTATGATAGATTCTGTCCACATGAAGCTTTTTTATCTGCAATAGAACATTAGAATTCACACAACCTCAAAGCCATTGAAAATGACACTAATTTTCAAATTAATTACAGGGGAGAAGTTTGATTATATGCATAAAGTTCCCTTAACTAGTCAGAGTAGAAGTTAAAATGCCTTATGGTTAATAATACATGAATAATCCAACTTTAGTCATTAATGATTTGAAAGGTCCACTTCAATTTGCAGATGGTACCAGGCTGGTAGGGGTTGCAGAATGCCAGGATTAGAACTGAAAAATAACCTGTCAAAATTAGGTAAAATGGTCTGACAAAATAAGGTGCAGTTCAGCAGAGACAAGTGCAGAGACCTATACCCAAGTAGGGTTGAGCAGCTGTTGAAAGAGTGACTACTGAGCATTGCACAGTAAGCAGGAGCATCATTGTAAAACGTGGAGATCTGACTACCCTGTGAAGGGCTTTTAGGGTGTCTCTTGCAATGTTGTGCATCTGCTGTGGGAAGCAGTGTTCAAATTCAGGTACTTCAAGAAAGATATGGATCAGCTGAAGATAGCTGAGTTGAGACAGGTTAAAGATAATTAGCGTGGACAAGTATGACTTCTGAAGAAATAGCGAATGGAGTTTGTTAATGTAGAGAACTAATTAATTGTTTACATATGTGAACTATGATGAAACAACAAAAAGGAATAAACTGGTCCTTATGTCCAAAAAGACAAGAATTAATAGATAGAATCTGCAGTTTGGAAGATTTAGCTTTGTTTTGGGAAAAGTTTTTAAAGATGAACATAACTATATGAGGGAAAGACAGCAGAGGGAACTCATGAGATCGCTATTTTTTCTCTGAATCGCATTCTGTTGTATTTATTCACATTTAAAAGGCAAGTGAAATAATAATGAAAATAAAGCATAAATGCAGAAAACATCTACTTGGAATCATATTGGATTATTGAAATGATTCAAAGAAAGGTAAATAAGATGGAAAATGCAGCCTGAGGCCACTTTAAAATCGGGTTTGTGGTTTGCTGTGTAACTTCTCAGGTTTGTCTGTACTATGTAGATACAGAACTGAATGCTAGAATAAAGACTGACTATTAACAAGAGGGTAAGGGAGTTCAGATGGCATCTGCTGTAATTGTTAAGATTTTTACTTGAACTCAGGGATGTGTATAGGCTGCGAATGAGAAGAAATAGAAACCTTTCAGTGACCCAAGACTATGATTTTTGAAGGAATCCTTTAGGACACTTTGACTATGCATGGGTCCAGATAGTTACAGGCAGAATAGCATTCCTACATGTTTGAGTGTCGGTATAAGGCACCTAGGTGCTGTTTGACTTCTGTATTATGAGAATTTTTGTATTATATCAAATGTTCTGAGTTATTTAATTTTCCCCTTGTGTGCACTGAGATTTTTTTTTTTTAAATTGGGTAAGCTTAAAGGCTGTGATTCAAGGGTTAAGGCTCCCTTGAGACAGCATTTCAAAAGCTGATATTTTTAAATACAATGGAAAAAATCAGTTTGAAGAAGAAAAATATTTGAGATAAAAAAATGTATGGATTGTGCTAACTCACAATGATGTAAGCACCTGATTTTCACTTTGAAGTTTTTCCCTCAGTAATGGTCTGCAATATGACCTGAGTACTCAGGTAGCAAACACAAAGGGAAAAAGACACAAAAAATTGCATTTGTCACCTAGCTAGACTATTAACAATTTTTTTCTGTGTTTTTTTTTTTTTTTTACTTGGAGAGGGGGGAAAAAAAATCAATGCATGTTCTGAGTATTATGGATGCCAACTGGGTTTCATACATGCTCAAGAGATTGTCCTTTTTCTCTTCAGATGTCTTAAAACAAAATCCCAAACTGGTAGGTTCACTGAGTGTAAGGAAAAGAGGATCAAACTTCTTAGCTGTGTAGGACTGTGGGTCTTGAGGGCATAATAGAAGAGGAACAATGTCAGAAAAGAATAGGCAGTCTGCAATATTGAGTCATATATATGTGTGTGTGTATATATATATATCTACTATGGGCAGTTCAAGATGAGTATTTTGGCTAAGTAGCTGCAGCTTTTATTGATGGAATAGCTTAGCTGCTACTCCCTGAGTAAACAGAAGGGTAAGAGCAGACTGACTTGGACTGAAAATAGCATCTGATATGAGGTATATGGCACATGGTTATCTGTTCAAAATGGAGTGTGTGGTGTGAACCTATAATCGCCCAAAATCCCCTTTCTATTATAGTATTAAGTAAGCTTTTATGGAACTTTCATTGGAAATCTAGCAAATACTTCCATTTTGTTGTTTACAAAGAGAAATTAGTATTTGAGCAGGTGAGAAATAATAATCTGTTTTAATGAATGCAACTTCAGTTATTTATTTTAGAACCTACAAATGAATAATTTTAGGTATCCATAGGGTTTGGGGGCAAGTAAAAAATGCAAATGTATACCTGTGAGAAGATAATCTAGAGGGCATCCATTACCTCAAGCAAAGGTGAGCTCATAACACGCTTTGTAGTGGTCATTCCATAGATAACTACAGTTTGGCTTTAAGTTCTAGATTAGTGTCCTATGGAGTATGAGTATGTCTTCTTCCTGTTCTGCGCATTTTCTTCCCAATGTGACAGGCCATAGTGTCCTTTCAGAAACAAGTCAAGGAATAGTGGCCAACTGGCAGAAATCTACCCTTTTCTGTTCTTGCCCAGGCTCACAGAACTGAAGGGTGATGTTAGAAATAAACATATGTTGCTGAAATTGGAAAGAACAATCTACTTCTCTCTAATGTATCCAATTCCTATGGAGTAATGGTCCTTCGCACTTCTTCTATAAATATACTCTATGTTGAAAGCACTGTCCAGCTTTAAATTATGGAATACAGCTCCCTCATCTGTCCAACTCAGTTAATTAAAATATGTCAAAGGCCAAAGTAGTTTACAATCAGTGGTATATATTCCTTTTTTTCCCCAAAGGCTTTGTCTGCTTGAAGACCTATTTCTAATGTACACTGACAGAATAATCTAATTTCTGTGATGCTTATCAGGTATTCTGAAATTTTCTGCAAGATATTCATAATGATGGGACTAAAGCTGATAATCACAGAACAGAAATTGGACTAAATGAAAGATCTTTTGTTTGACATTTTGAAAAACCAAGAAACTTGGAAATCAGTGCATTACTTGTCCTGTTTCATATAGTTCTTTCTTATTGCATCTTTGTTTCTTTTTATTTGCTTCTGAGTGGTACCTGCTGAACTGGTGGAGCTTGGAAGCCTTGACCCTCTGTAGAAGAATTCTAATGTAAATAGCTGCAGTATAGACTTGCATACAAATGTTGTATAACTTGGTCCTGCTCTGTTTATCCATAATACCCATTTCACTGCTTGGTGTATGATTAAAAATCGTCAACAACCATGCTACTATGATACATGCGCTGATGTGTATATTGCTGACTTGAATGCCCACTGTCAACATAACCTTGCAGGCCACTAAATGTTATTTTGCTGTAATCTATGTTACTACTCTACTATTTATGATTTTTGATTAGAAACCAAAATGACTTTATGATGTTTTTATTGAAATATAAATACTGAGAATGTTGGTCTCCACCCATTAATCTCTATTTAGCACATTGTAAAATATAACATAGTGAATATATATCATCAATATTCTTTTCATTTACTGAGATATTCCTGACTGCTAAACTTAATGCTATCATTTCAGTTTTTGTCAGTGTCGCATACTTGGCTCCTGAACAAGTAGTTCTGTGAAAAATTTTAGCTATATGCCACCCAACAAAACCAAACCATTAGTCAGCATCATGCTAAAGCATACTGATAGCAAACTTAATTTCCTTAGCATTGACATTTGGGGTGAGGGGAGGCAGCAGGGAATCTTATGTTGCATGCTATATCATAACAATATCAGAAGAGACTTCCATACTGAAAAATCAGTAAGACATTTTGATAGAAGAGTTTAAACTTTCTGAAATAAGGAATAGTGTGCCCATTACATGAACTGTTTGCACTGTTCATGTATTAAAACTACATGTTCTGCAGTTGTTTTGTGTCTAACTGAAGTAGTACATGAGAGATAATGAGATACATTGATATACCAAATAATGACATTTGGATAACCTAGTGCTCCCAAAACTGCTTATTCAGTTATCATGAGTGCTGTGATTTTGAGTGCTGTCATTGCCACTGTAAGCTCTCTTTGAATACAACTATGACTTAAATGTTGAGTGTCAGTTTGGCCCTTTGTATTTTACCTGTGGGCAAATCAAAAGCAGAAACACAGTTTTTTTCTTTGCTTACATTACTAGAGAAATAAAAGCATCAACTGCCTACACAGCTAGGGTATGATGAATGGTGACAATAATAAACCCAATCTCCTTTCCCTCTGTCTCACTGATGAAGAAAAAACCTGGAATAGCGATATGAAGTTTGAGAGGGGCATTTCTGACCTAGATACGAAGCTACAGAGCTGTATATAGTTTACAGTGATCAATATATTATGCTGATTGGTGTTAAAGTTTAACTGGCTAAACATGAAATTCGCCTTGTGCTAGTGGTGGCTGTGTGGGCCTTAGTGTCTCAGATCATGCAGACTCTGAGAGCCCCATATTTCACTTTTTTTTTCATTGAAGTGAAAGGTGGCTTCAATTCTGCAAAACCGTGTTGATGTCTATGGGCTGATTTTGTGGCAAATACTTTTCACTTTGCTTTGTCTCCAGTCTTCCCCCATCCCAAAATAGCCTCTAGAAGATAACATAAGATCTCAGAACTTGAGCCTAAACATGCTGTGACAGGCCATTTGGAGACTCCAGACCACAAATGTAGGAAAGCTGTCTGTTTCTAGCCATTACAAATAGGCATGTCTAGCATATCTGGAAAATGATAGATGAAATTCAGAAAGTTACCTTGGGTGTCCTATTAAGTTAAATTATAACAAGGAATTAAATTTCCAGGGCTTTGGGGTTTGATAGGTCATTACTGTTTCCAAGAGTGAAGGTTCCAACAGCAAGAGATGCAACACTAGGTTATTTGGAGAACACATTAGTGACATGCTAGAATTTTGCATTTTATCTATGTATGCCTGATGTTCCAACAGCAGAGCTGCTGCTTTCCTGCAGGCCATGCTACCTGAATGAATGTGATTAATTAGTTATACCAGACAAAGTACAGTTTCACGACGTTTAACATACGTGAAATGTTGGTATGTGCTATTGAATAATAAGTTTAAATATTGCTTGCTGAACCAGCTTCTGGATAAACTCTTAAAAGCTATCATTGACCAGCAGGAATAAAATTTACTGGGGGAATAGTGAGTTCATACATTCTCAATGCTTTCATAATGTAGTACTGGGGCATAAAGAGGTGTACAGATTTTACCCTTTTATTCTTTCATCCTGCTCCTTTAAATCCTAGTTATGTGATAAATATTCACGCTCTAGTTTGCATAAAACAAAGCACAGTTTCTATCTTTTAGCCGATTACAACATCTGCCCTACAAGGTTTTTCCCTTTTATATACAGGCTTCCCTGAAGATATAAATATGGTCTTTCTAATAAACACACTTAAAATCTTTCCAGAGAGAAAAGCTTCCACAGAGGGATTAGCATGTGTCATTATGAAACTCGCTAAAAATGTTTGATTTACCTTAACAAGAGAAATGGAGCTCACTCTGACTCTGATAGGAACTTAGCACCAAAAGGAACTGCAGAGTATAAATAAGAGCAGAATGTGGCTCCTGATCTCTTCATAGTAATATGCTTTAAAACTAGAAATGTATGAGGCTCTTCCTAATGTAATGAGGCACACTTGTGAGTAATATTCCCAGGAGCCAATAGGAGTGAATGCAAAGTAACCTGTTCTGTCTATCAGCGTATCAAGGGGACATTCTGTCTTTTCAGCTGAGGTGATACTTCATGGTACTTATCAGAGATGTAAAATATGTGAAAGTAAACTGTAAAAAGTACTAGATCATTTAATTTTAAAAATAAATGTTTCCTTGGTACTGTAGTCAGCTACAGTATGACAGCACAAATGTTAGGAAGCTCTACTGAAGCTCAGTTAATCTATCTGATTATGAGACTGTCTGCTGCTTTCCAGTTTTGGATAATACTCATCTCTTACTGGTCTGGGTCAACATACATTACTCTTTTATACTTGACTTTTAGTAAATCCTTGTCCGCGGTCAAACTTCCTGATCCAGCCAAAGCATCATCAAAGCATCTGTGACATGTATGGTTGGCCAGTTACAGAGCATGAGCGGGAGACTGTGGTCCCCTATCCACTGTAGGCTTCATTGTAGGAAGTCTGGGCAAGAAGGTATTAGAATAATAAATAAGAATAAATGACTTAATGGTCTGTTTGGGGGGAAGTGCAATTCAAGGGCTATAGACCCCTAAATTGGGTACAGTTTACAGCACACAAAGTAGTGACACAAAGTTCAAGGTTTTTTCCTTTATGCTGATGCCGTTTCTCTAAATGCACTATATTTCTGTATTTGTTCTGCTTATGTTTGAAATATGTCATTTTTACAGAACTTGCTGATATAGAGTCTAAAGTGAGAAATGCATCTCACTGAAAAGCAAGCTTTGATATCTAGCTAAAGATGCCATCACTGATTTCATGGTCAGAAGGGGTGACTGGTGGATGTGCATTCACAGATCACAAAGCTGAAGCCACACATATGAATCTCATAACTGTTTTTGAGGTATGAGGCTCAGGAGGCTGCATAACTTCAGTACTCTCCCTAACCTTAGTGTTCTCTCTTTAACTTCCATGACCCAGATCTGTTCTGAATTCAAGATTGTGATAGAGAAGGTAATATTCTCTAATTAATAAGGTTATTAAAATCACAGCCTCTTTTGTTTTTTATATATAGGTGTATATGTTATTTACATATGAGGCATACCTACGTACAGAGACAATATTTATCACTTTATTTCTAGGTGAAGCTGTTCTTGGTAGTGTTTGGCTGTATCAGAGATAAAACTATCCAAGAAAATTTTAAGAGTGGCAGCTGAAAGTTGAATGCGAAACACTAGCTCCAATTCTACTCTGCCATTGAACCCTAGTCTAAGTGAAATTTTAGAAGAGTTTTTCAGCCTACAAAGGTTTCTTAGGGACAGGACTGTTGGAAAGCATAAGAATTAATTTTGTCAGATCCTTAATAGTTTTATAGACTAACTGGGTGGTCATCTAGCTTAGGAGAATAGTCATGGAAAATTGGAGCATTTGCTTCTAGCTCATTGCTTTACATCTGGTCAGGATCGTAGTAGCACATTTTTCTTACAATCTGGTGATTACTTGATGGCCTGTGCAACATAAGTTAAAGATTTCTCTGTTCCTGCAGATCCATTTCATCCAGATTTTCAAACGCAGTGGCTTGAACTCAGTGTCATTATCCATAAGCACTGTTATTTATTTTTAAAGGAAATAGGCCCATGACTCCTTAGATTAAATGATGCATAATAAAATGAAGCTTTTATGGTGCTTCTTATTTTATTGGGCAGTCAGGCTATGTGTTTTATATCTTGATTTTTAAGAACAAACTCCTCTTTGACATCAGGTATTAGTAGAGCTGAATACTTTCTAGTGGTACAGGGAGACAGGCTAGGATATTGTTGGCTACACAATTTGAGAACATTTTGGTTACAGCAGCTGAAATTGCTGAAACTGATACTGATGGTAAGGATACTTGATTATCTAAATTTTATCTTACTGAGTGTTAAGAAATATCAAAGGGTTGAAGGAAATTTGGATGGGTAAGCCAGGTTAAAAATCTAACTGCGGAAGCTCTTGCTTTTGAACTTATTACTATTTAATCAAGTTACAATTAACTACATTCCAGTATGTGTAAGTACCAGCAAAGGCTGGTACTTAAAATCTACGGCATCCATAGACTATTACCTTTCATTAGAGATTAGGCATCTAATTTCTAGCTCAAGATATCAGACACAATGAATGTCTAAAGAAATACCATGATGGAGTACATGAGAAATTCTTGAATAATGTTGGTACACTGGGCTCACTAATGCTGTGCTGATAATACCCGTTTTTGTTTTGGTGCCTCTTGATAAGCAGAGCCAACCATCAGAGACCAGTACAAAGAAGTATAACAAAAATACATACATTGCCTAGAGAATTTTCCTATGTGCAAAGTTTTGACATGGTATTATCACTCCTCCTATTAATAAATCTTTCATGATAGGCTGGACAAACTTTTAAATATCAGCAAAAGTGTTACAACCTTTCTCTTTTTTTAGCCAGTGTAATGTTTCTGCCTCTATGTTGTGAAAAAAAATTGTTCAGTAAAAGCTACAATTCCTCCCATGTAAATGTAGTATAATGTAGTAACATACATAACATTCTGAATATTTTTACATGAGTTTGTCACAGATAGGAACCATCAATTGAAAGGAGGCAATGAATTAAAATACTCCTTGTCAGAGATATGGAAAGATTATCTGTTCACAATGAATCAAGAGTATAATGTGGGATTTTCACTTAGCTGTGAGAATCCAATTGAGCACATGAAATCTGTCTTGATCATCTCACTCACTATCTTCCAAGTTCATCAAAATGAAGCACATTCTTCTGTTTAACATAACTCATTCAAACATACATTTTATATGTGAAATAAGTAATGCTAATTATAATCTGAGTAATGTGATTATAACAACTCTAATGAAAAAAATTATTGGCAATTGGGTGCGAGAGGAGTGTTTTTATTGGTCCTATATATTGTCAAAGATAATAAATGAAATGTTTTTCTCTGGCTTCTTGACAGTAAAACCTTACACATATATTAGCTATTGTGGATCCAGGAATGCTGTATTTATCATGTATCTGCACTCAGTAAGCAAAGAAACAAGACTGTGCATAAAACATAATTTGCAGACACTGGATTTAAAAACAGAAAGTGTGTGTGTGTGTGGAGATAAAAATTCACAGCATGCTGTTGCCTGCAGTCCATCTCCCTTTTCAAAGGGTATTTAGCTTTCTTTTTTAAATTCTGTATCACCAAGTAAATTACTATTTACCTTGCTAATGTACATGCAGATAGACATATTTAAGCACATTCACAGAATGGCTTGGGTTTGAAAGGACCTTAAGATCATTCAGTTCCAACCGCCCTGCCATGGGCAGGGATGCCTCACTCTAAACCACATCGCCCAAGGCTCTGTCCAACCTGGCCTTGAACACTGACAGGGTGGAACATTTACCA